ACTGTGTCTCCCCCCAAAAATATATTATAGCCCTAACCCCCTAGTACCTCAGAATGTTATCTAATTTGGAGACAGGGTCTTTACAGAGGTAATCAAGTTACAATGAGGTCATTAGGATGGGTCCTGACCCAGTATGACTGGTATCCTTACAAAAAGGGGAAATCTGGACACAGACACATTCAGAGGGAAGATGCTAAGAAGACACCAGGGGAAAACAGCCATCTATAAGCCAAGGAAGGAGGCGGCTTCACCTACAGACTGTTATGGATTGAACTGTGTCTCCCCCATAAAAAAATATATTATAGCCCTAATCCCCTAGTACCTCAGAATGTTGTCAAATTTGAAGACAGGGTCTTTACAGAGGTAATCAAGTTACAATGAGGTCATTAGGATGGGTCCTGACCCAGTATGACTGGTATCCTTACAAAAAGAGAAAATCTGGACACAGACACATTCAGAGGGAAGATGCTAAGAAGACACCAGGGGAAAACAGCCATCTATAAGCCAAGGAAGGAGGCCTGGGACAGATCCCTCCCTCACAGCCTTCCAAAGAAACTAACCCTGTGATTTCAGACTTCCAGCTTCCAGTATTGTGAGACGATGAATGCCTGCTGCTTAAGCCACCCGGTTGGTGGTACTTTGTTACAGCAGCCCTTAGCAAACTAATACCGGGAACATCTCCAATTGCTTACTAGGGGCTGTCTGGATGCTATTTTGAAAGAGTTTCTAGAGCAACACTAGACTAGCAGGAAAGAGAGCCATGGTCAACTGGTAAGGTCTTCCATGAACGTGAGGGTGGGACAGTATTAAATTTAGAGTCCGCTGACCAGATCATGCAGGCTCCAGCACATTGTGACCCTGTGATGGCACCAGGGGTCCCACAAACTTATGAACAGGTGAACTGATGGGCAGGGCTGCCAGGAGTCCATACCTGAGGGCTTCGCTGAAGGATGAGGGAGGGGAATGGAGAGCAAGGATGGCACCTGCCTGGATATTGGTCCCCGGCCTGTCTGCTGATGAAGCAATCAGTCCCTCCCCAATAACAGAGCTCTAGCAACTGGCCAAAGAAAGTCAAAGTCTCAAACAAAATGACAGCTCCTGAATATTTTACAAGATGTCAACTTCCCTTTCAATTAGCCTTTTTGAAATGTGCTGTATTAAGACCACAAGGTCTGCTCTTCCCAGCTGGGCTGAGTATTATGGCATTTCTTCGGCTCTAGCAGAGTATCATAAGGTTCCAAAGCCTCGCTAACTACAAGGTATTTCTCAGAGCAGGTTTCAGAGTGCACTAGAGAAATATTGATGAAAAGGCCCAGAGGTGTGGGTGTAGTCATTGCTTTCAGCAGGTGAGGGCTCTCTTTATTTCCTTCCTGCAGGCAGATTCAACAATAAACCTTTTTTTTTTTAATTTAAACTCTGAGGCATTAGTGTGTGTACATGTGTATGTGCGCACGTGTGCATGTGTGTGCGCGCGCGTGTGTGTGTGTATGCGCGCGCGTGTGTGTAAATGTTTTAGCATGCTGGGAGCTCCATGGAACACCATTCCAATCTGGAAGCAAGAGAACACTTTTGCTACAGGTACTAGGGTTCACGTAGAGGCTCCCAGCAATGGTAGTAATGTGAGGTCTCATCTGAAGTGACTTCAGAGGCAGTGACCCTCAGAGAGAAACTTGGAGCAGAGTAAAATGAAAGGACAGTGTATCTATTGTTTATGTAACCAACACCCCAAAGTAGTGGCTCAAAGCAACAATCAGTTTACTTGCCCATGATTATGCTGGTCAGTAATTTGGGCTGGGCTCAGCTGGGTGGTTCTTCCATTCACCCAAGGTCATTCACGTGGCTGCAGTTAGCTGTCAGGTGGCCAAGGGCCTGGTTATGGAGGGGACACTCAGGACACTCATCTCTGCTCCACACGCTTTATCACAAGGTGGTGGAAGAGTCCTCAGCAGCCAGAGAGGACAAAGCCCACGTGCACATGTCCTTTTCAGGCCTCTGTTTACATCACACTTGCTCATGTCCCAAGGTCAAGCCCAGAGTCAGTGTGGGAGGGGACTGCACAAAGGCTTAGTACAGACACAAAGGCATGATTCCTTGGGAGCCTTCAGTGTAAAGAATCTTCCAGTTTGCTTTTCTGAGAACCTTTGTAAACTGTCCTGAGACCCTCAAAGGTAAAAGTGCCGACAGCCGGAGGTTCTACCTTAGGAGGTAGGTTCAAGAGCTGGTGAGATCTTTGTTATTTTCATTACTATGCTCCCGTCTGTACACACAGGCAAGTAGGTCTGGGGAAACTGAAATCATTGACCTTGAACTAATCCCTTCATCTCTGAGGCTCAGTTTCCCATTTGTAAAACACAACCCATAGGGTTATGGAAAGGATCACATGAGCTCCCTGGCCTTTTGTGAAAAGTACAAAGCTCCACACGTAAACAGACGCTCTTCTATCAGCCAGGATAGGCTACGGGGGAAACTTTAGGCTGGTGCACGGGGGAATGCACAGACATTCAAGGAGAACATAGAGCTCCAGGTGAGTGGGCTGTTTAAATCATTTTTTAAAAATTCATGAGAAGACCTTTTGGTTCCAGATAACATTAACTTAGTCTCTCCCTTTCCTTCATCCATCCTTCATTCCTTCCTTTCCCTCTCTCTCTCTCTCTCTCTCTCTCTCTCTCTCTCCACCCGCCCCTTCCCCCAAGACAAAGAGAAAACAGATTTTGTATGTTTCACACATCTGCTTTACTTTTTGTTCTAGCCCTAAATTGTTTCTCTATCTCATATGCAACTTGTTCTCTCCTGCATCTAATAGCCTCAATCCAGTTTCCGAGATGTCTCAGCTTACAAGGGTTTGATGGATTACACTCCAAGTTGATCCCTGCTCGCCCATCCATCAAACATTACCAAGTCATTTTTGTGTATCTGGCATGGTGCTAGGACTTGGTGACACGAAGATGAATGAGGCATAGTTTTTATCCTCTAGGAGCTCACAGCCTAGTGATGAGATAGATGCATCAACAGGAAATAGGACTATTATGGTGTGCTATGAAAGAAAAATGTGCATTTATTCAACAAACATGTTAACGATCCCTTACTCCGTGCATGCCTTATGGTGTGAAATACAAAAACGAATAAGATGCCTTTCTATTGCTAAAGAGTGTCTAGTGAAGGGGTTGGTTGGACAAGTCAACAAGCACCATGTAGGAACACAGAAGTAGGCACGCGGTTCGCATGGGAGCCCAGAGTGTAGCACCTGTCAGGTGGAAGTGGTGGCGAAAGGTTTCCCATAGAATTTACATAAAACCAGAAATGGGTGAGCAATGAATTTGAGGCAGACAGAACATGAACAAAGGCAGACCGGCTTGGCAGAGAGTGATGTTTGGGAGAAACATACAGCAGCTCAGCATGCCTGGGATACAGGGGGAGAAGGGGGAGAGTGAAATCGGGAGAGGTAGGCAGAGGCCAGGCCACAGGCGCTGGAGAACCACCGCTCACTTTAACCTGGGAAGTGGTCCGACTGATCAGATTTGCATTTTAGAAAGATCGTTCCAGCAGAAGTGGGTAGACTGACACATGTAGGGGCAGACTGGGAGCAGGACAATGAAATAGGAGACTCGTTAATAATTCACTTCAAATGGGAAATGATGAGAGATTGAATTTAGGTGGTACTAGTGGGGACAGAGAGAAGGGGGTGGCTTTGGGAGGCATAAAGGAGTGTTATGGGCAGAATTGTGTCCTCCTCTGAAAAAATTCTTATGTTGAAGTTCTCACCGCCAGTACCTCACACTGTGGCTGTACTGGAGACAGTCTTTAAGGAGGTGATTAAGGTGAAGATCATTAGGGTGGGCTCTGATGCTATATAACTGCTCTGCTTATAAGATTTGGACACAGAGACATACAGGAGGAAGACCACGTGACAACACGGGAAAGAGGGCCGTCTACCAGCCAAGCAAAGAGGCCTCAGGAGAAACTGATCCTGCCAACACTGTCATCTTGGACTTCCAGCCTCCAGAACCGTGAGGAAATAACTTTCTGTTGTTTAAGGTACCCAGTCTGCCGGACTCTGTTATGGGAGCCAGAGCAAACCAATACGAGGAGGAAGAATCAGGAGACTTGGGGAGCATGGAGATGTCAGGGCGAGGGGAAGAGACAGTAGAGGGTGACGACGTTCAGGTTTGGGACTGGGGCACTGTGGCATGTGAAGCAGCCGTTTTCCAAGCAGGTTAGCCAGTCGGTGGAGGTTTACTACCCGGGTCCGCTTCCTCCAGGGGATGCAGGGGGAGGCGGGGGGAGGAACAATACGAAGGGAGCCAGCTTTATGCCTCAAGAATGTCCCCGCTGGAAGTCTGGGTGCTGGGGATGTCACAGACGAGCCGTTCTAACCTAACCCGACAGCAACAGCTCCTGTGCAGCGCACATTCAGTGTCTTTCTGGAGTCTCAAGATAGCTGTGAGGTGAGCAGGGCAGGCCCCACCACCCTTTCACTGAATAAAACCAGCTGGGCAGTCTCTGTGCCCGAGGCGAGCTCAGTCTTGGGGGACAAACTCAGCATTCATCGTTTCTGACCCCCAACCTTCCTGAGGTCCCTCAGCACGACCCTCCTCCACGAGAGGCCCCGCGTGGGGACCCAGCCGGCCTGGGGACGCCAGCCTCCAGCTTCTCGGCATGGCCCTGACTCCTTGAGTGGTCCCAGAGCTTTCTCACTTGGAGATTAAATCTCCATCCCTGGCGCTTCCCCCCAGAGGGTCAGGAGGACCTGGCCTGTGCCGAATACCAGCCCTGAAGCAGGGGGTCTGGGAAGCTTTGCTGTCACAGGTCAAGGCCTGGAAAGGCAGCTCCGCAGGCCTGGCCTCCCTGGCGGCTGGGAGCAGCAGCCTCCGTGCCTGCAGGGACGGCTGCACAGCAGCGCTGCTTCCTCATACCTGAGCCTCCACCGCTGCACGCACACTCCCGGCCTGAGCTCATTATTTAAGACCAGCGCCCCGCTGGCTGTGAGTCACACACCAGGAGGGCAGAGGCAGCGGCACTCTCCCAGCACCAGCACCGGGGAAGGGACCCTCCCCTCGCCATGGCGTCCCTGGGGCAGATCATCTTCTGGAGGTAGTGCACACTTCTCTGTCTCTACAGGTGAAGGGGGCAGGGGTGGGGCTTTGGGGGGTGCTGAGACGGCCGGGCTGCCCCATAGGTCCCCATCTGTACCCTTATCTGATCCAGCACTGGGCTGACAGGAGCCTGGCTGGACAAAAACCTAACTGAACTTGACTTAACATTACACCCCAGCATCTGTATGTATCCTTATCTGATCCAGCACTGGGCTGACAGGAGCCTGCTGGACAAAAACCTAACTGAAGCCAAAACCGGTTTGGCTCAGTGGATAGAGCGTCGGCCTGCGGACTGAAAGGTCCCGGGTTCGATTCCGGTCAAGGGCATGTACCTGGGTTGCGGGCACATCCCCAGTGGGAGATGTGCAGGAGGCAGCTGATCGATGTTTCTCTCGCATCGATGTTTCTAACTCTCTATCTCTCTCCCTTCCTCTCTGTAAAAAATCAATTAAAAAATATATTAAAAAAAAAAAAACCTAACTGAACTTGACTTAACATTACACCCCAGGCACTTGGGGCACCCGTTCAGGGAGGGTTGGTTTTCTGCCATGAAGGGCTGACACCTGCTGGGACAGCTCTGGACCGAGGAGTGTGTGTGCCCGGCTGGCCCTTCTGGGGGCACTGAGGCTCTTGAGGGGGCATCGAGCGGGATGGCATGGATGCTCGGTGGGAAGGAAGGGAATCGATGGCTGATGATGGGGGAGGTGTAGGGTGCAGGATGAAGGACGGGCTGCATAAGCTTTGCCGCTTCTCTGGGTGTGATGTCCCTGCACGGCTGAGGAATTCACACCAGCCCTCCTCCACTCCCCGCTCCAGGATGGGGTCTCTGGTCTTCCTGGGGGCTCCTTGGAGAGGGGACTCTGTTGCTGCTGCTGCTGAGAAAAAGGCCTTTGTAGGAGGTCAGAGCCAGCCCACCCTGGGGCTGGGACGCGGTTAGGGGTGATGAGAAAGCAGCAGGAGAGGAGGAGTGGGCGTGTACAATGCTGCTGTGCAGGCGGAGCTGCAGAGCTGAGGGTGGAGAGCCCACGTGGACCGGAGGAGGAGGATTCAAGGGCCCAGCCTAGCTCCCCGGAGGGGAAGGATGAAGGAAGCCCCATCCCTTGTCTGTGGCTCCCATGCCCCAGCCACCTCTAGTGGCCTCTGTTCCCCTTTCTGGGAAGAAAGAGAAGGAAAGTGAAGGAAGGGCTTTCCTGAAACGTGGTGATTCCATGTCGTCCCAACTCCTGCTGGGGTGTAGGAAGGCTGGTGCTCGTTGGTTCTAGGCCAGTGGTTCTCAACCTTCCTAATGCCACGACCCTTTAATACAGTTCCTCATGTTGTGGTGACCCCCAATTTCATTGTTACAAATTGAACATAATTAAAGCATAGTGATTAATCACAAAAAACAATATGTAATTATATATGTGTTTTCCGATGGTCTTAGGCGACCCCTGTGAAAGGGTCGTTCGACCCCCAAAGGGGTAGCGACCCACAGGTTGAGAACCGCTGTTCTAGGGGTCTTTTGTGTCTTTTCCAGTGAAAGGAAGAAAAAGGGAGGGAGGAGAGAAAACCTCAGATTCACAGAAAAGTCTGTGAAGAGACTGAGAGAACACTGCTTCCCAGAGGCAGCCTAGAAAATTCTCTCTTAAAACAAAAGGTCAGCTCCCTCACTGTGTCCACCTGAAGTGGCCAGTCCTGCAGCAGGTGCTGGGGGGGGCCGTGTGGTGGGCAGGGCTGGGGGGCAGCACTCCCCTCTCTGTGCCCTGCAAGTATACCACTCACTGGAGAAGCAGCAGGTGTGTGTGTGTGTGGGGGGGGGGTCATTTGGACTCTCCTACCAGCAAGAATGTCCCCAAAAGCACCCACGTCAGAGGAGCCAGTGCTGTGCCAGTACTTCTATCTCCATGCCCTGGGCTAGATGCCTTACAGTAGCCTCCTTCAACCCTCACAACAGCCTGTGAGGGTTAATTATCACTCAGAGACGTTAAGTCATGTGCTCAAGGCCACACAGCCTGTAAGAGGCAGGGCAGCTTTGAAATCCACTCTACTGAACTCTGAAACCCAAGCTCTCTCCCGGGTGCCCTGCTCGCCCCCTCCCTGCCCATCCCAGCGCCTTCCCTCTACACTAAACCACAGTCTCATGGATGTGAAACACGCCCCTTCAACAAGCGGCTGTTGTTCCAGGGACAGATATGTGGGCTTTCTAATAACACATTGCAACCAGCCTGGCTGGTTTTGCAGGAAGATTAGGAGACCACTGGAATGGACAGAGGCTCATCCTCTTGTCCCTAGGTCTGCTATTCAGGCTCTATAGTTGAAAGGCAGAGATAAGCCACAGGGGCAGCAGATCCCTTGTGCAAAGAGGCCCCCAGGAAGAGGGTCCATGGGCAGGCTTGGTGGGAAGCAGGGTCAAGAAATCTCGTCCCAGGGAAGCAGGTGGAGCGCCCCTGCGGGAACCTGGTATCCACTCTTGACCCTAACAAACCCTCAGTCTTTGCCATAATTTCCTTAATCCAGAGCAATACTTATTGTCGAGGTGATGGGGACCATTGGTGGTGGAGGAGAGCTCATGAGAGGGCCTGCATGTTCTGCAGACCCAGTGGATCGTTCTCTTAAATAATCACTAGAGAGCTCACTACCTCCAGATCTCATGCTCCTGTGCATGCCGCTCAGGGGTGGAATGCTGGAGGGCCGTTTCCGCTGTGCCTGACCTTTGTGGTACAATTATGAGCTGTGTGGTCAACACTATACTCCCCCTTTCCTCATGGCTGTCAGAGGGCACAGCACCTCCCAGGGAACACTTGTTGAGTAGCTGCTAGGAGTCCCAGGGTGCAAGAGTCATGATCTCTGCTCTGAAGGGGTTACATTCTAGTAAACAACATTAACTGAGCACCTACTATGTGCTGGGCATTGCACTAGATACTAGGGCAAAGATGATTAAGACATTGACAAGATTATAGGCTAATGGGGAGAAAGGCTACTAAGCAGATAATTCCATAGTACGGCTCATAAATCATGAGACAATCGGGGCAGGATGCAATTTCCCTAACTTGAGGCTTTTGAGAAGGTTTCCTGAGCCAGTTGAGGGCTGGGCTAAGTTTCAAAGATGAGTTGGCGGGATCCAGATAAAGAAGGGTGGGAAGGATACTACAGGTCAAGGAGTGGGACAGAGTAGGATAGGATAGGATAGGATAGGATAGGATAGGATAACAGAATAAAACTCATGAACTACCATGGGAAGTTAGAAAGCTACAAGTCCTCCGTGTCATCATGAGAGCATGAAGTTCCAGGCAGGGAGTGCCAAGATGAGGCTGAAGAAGCCGAGCCAGGTGGTGCTAGACTTTGTTTACAAGACGTATGGGTGATAAGGGACCTCCGAAGGCTCTCAAGCAAGGGAATCCTGGTGGTTTTCACCTTTGGTGGGTCACTCGGAGGCAGTGTGGAGAATGGCTATGAGGACCGTGAGCCAGGAGGCAAGGAGAGCAGCAGGAAAACAACTGCAGTCAGAAATGCAAGGAATGATAAGGACCTGACAGTGAGAACGGCAGCAGGGATCCGGAGGGGGGCAATCCATTCCAGAAACATTTAAGACTTACACTCACACACTTTCAGAGCTGAAAACTTCAGAAAGTCAGTACACCCACTCACCTTATGGCCGGGATAATTAAAATACATTGTGCAACTTTCTCAAGGGTCATGTAGTTACAAGTGGGCAGAACAGAGCTCTGTCAATGATCTTACACATACTGCCCAGTGACCTAGCTCAAAACTGTGCTGGACCCCAGCTGACCACGATTTACCCAAACACCAAGGCTCCCTAAATCTGAGAGGCCAAAGCTCCATCCACATTTACCTGTGACATGTGAAGAAGTGGGGATCATGTGGATATGGAGTTAGTCTGACCTGTGTTCCTATCCCAGCTCTCCACGTCCCAGCGGGCTGACCCCAAGTAAGTTACTTAACCTGAGTCGTCATTTCCTCCGCAGTAAAATGTGGTTAATCGGACCTCCCTCCTCGAGTTGCTGTGGAAACTAAATTTAATACATGTAAAGAGTTCAGGGCAGCACCTTGTACCTAGTTGGCCTTGATGTGTTAGTTCTGCTTATTCAGTTATTCCCTTCCACTGTTTTCACAGAACAACAAAGTGACTTGGTGGGAGGGAGAGGAATGACAAGTCCAACAGGAGCGGCTGGGTTTAAGGGACCTGTGTGTCCAAATTCAGGGATTTCAGAGGACTTTCTAGTCCTTGTTCTGTGACAGAAGGGGAAATCTTTGGCTGACTGAGGTGGCAACTCACTCAAAACTCAAAGTGCAGTCTCCTGGCAGGCAGGAGAGCATCACCTGAGCCTGTTAGAAATGCACATTCTCAGGCCCACCCTCCGGACCCACTGAATCGGAAACTGAGGGGCACAGCGAAGGGTTGGGGGTCAACTGCATTAGCGTTCTCTCTGGGCTCCCTGACTCCTCAGGGGAAGCAGAGGATGTAATCCATAGAGGGATAAATCTCACCCGGGATCATTCCTCAGTCCACATTTCTCCTGAAGAAATGTCCTCAGGAGGGAACAGATGGGCCTTGAGGAGCACAAAGGAAGAAGCATGAAGTTCCTGCAGGTACGAAATGCAGGTTGTATCTCCTTGTAGCAGCGTTCTCTGGGCTCCCTGACTCCTCAGGGGAAGCACAGGATGTAAGCCATAGAGCAGCGGTTCTCAACGTGGGGGTCGTGACCCCTTTGGAGGTCGAATGACCCTTTCACAGGGGTCGCCTAAGACCATTGGAAAACACTATATAATTACATATTGTCTTTGTGATTAATCACTATGCTTTAATTATGTTCAATTTGTAACAATGAAATTGGGGGTCACCACAACATGAGGAACTGTATTAAAGGGTCTTGGCATTAGGGAGGTTGAGAACCACTGCCATAGAGGGATACATTTCACCCAGGATCATTCCTCAGTCCACATTTCTCCTGAAGAAATGTCCTCAGGAGGGAACAGATGGGCCTTGAGGAACACAAA